GAAGATATTGTGATTTAAACAAAAATAAATCCATCCACATCATAATTGAAATTTCTATTTATTAATAAGTGGTGCAGTTTTTAAAGACAGAACATAAAAAAATCAGTTAAGAAGTATTGTTTGCATAATATATTGAAATAAACATATTAAAGTTGTTCAAATATTGGACAGTGCCAGAATAGAAATTACACATACAGTTTAAAAATTACAATAAATAATATTATAAAGAGCACTAAAGGCCACTTGTATAAAAGTTGTGTTCCCTTGTCAGCCAGAATCTGAAAAAGCATCTTTGTAGCATGGAGAAAATTTCAGTGAGCAAGGCACAAATACTAGTAATAATAAGATGCCATAACTAGAAAACAAAATGCGGTTGGCTACGTAACCTTCAGTCCCAGCGTGTTCTCGACGATGGAATAGGATCCCACTTTCAGTATTTTGTTTCACTTAACTTCAGAGGGAAGCTACTCAAAGCTGAATTGGGAAGGATCAAATCTTACAGCCTAAATAATCAGAAGCAAAAGTGATACCCAGGATCTTCATTCCCACAGCACCCAGCTAAAAACACTTGAAAACGGCCCTTTTTTCCTCTGTACCTCTGAAACTAGTCTTCCAGGGTGAACATCCACATTCAGCTGGGCTCCTGAAAAAGCGATATCCCACCAAATTCAAAAAATTTAGGTTTGCCCCTGTTAGGCACCTAAAGCTCAGTGGTGGGGGCTGTGGGGTGCAAGGAATCAAGGTCCAGCTCTTTCCCATGTGCTCTTCGGTAAAGCAGGACGAATCTAGCTCTTACCTAAGCAGATAAGACACCTCTGCAGCACCTGGGCTCCCAGCAGGGCATGATTTGCTCCTTACTCTGAATTTTGTGACTGCTTTAGGCCGTGATCTTGCGAACTGGTTGGACCTCGGTGCTTGCCTGAAGGCCACGAGGCAGCGGCCCCGCTGCGTGCGGGTTCAGGTCGGGTTGGGTTTGTGGTGCTCCTGGGCCGCAGCTTGGAGCAGGAAAATTTTAAACTGCTTCCCCTCTGAACCGTAACAATGCAGCAAAGTTACAGATAAAACCAGAGCAAATATAGCCAAAGTCGGTTTAGGGACTTTTTAATCAATCTCTCCACATGTTGAATTCCCTTTTTATTTTGATGGGAGCCAAACTGATTAATTCAGTGCAGGGAAAAGCCAAGGCAGGGACAACAGCCATTACTTTTGACTAGATTTTTTGTTAAAAGTTCTCCTTAAGTAGAGCATAAATCACACTTTTCTATACCTGCATACTTCAACTAAACATTCTCTTCTGTCTTAATCAAATATTCCCAGTTTGAATCTAAAGTGAGGAACCTCAATTGACAATGATGCTGCAAAGAGAGGCACACAATGTAAACAGATTCACCTTTTTGAAAACTTCCAGATATGTGGCATTCGCTGGGGACTGAGAATCAGTATAAAAATGTAGCCAAGAAAAATGTTTCCAGATCAATGCTGTCTTTCACAAGGAAATTCACAAATAAAAGCAGATTGGGACTCAGCCCTGCTCCCACTGCATCAGTCTGAGGTTTTTAACTTTGAGGAGAACAGAGAAAAGTTCCACAGTTTCTGATTATGAAAAATATCTCAAGGACTGAATTAAGAGTCATCAAAGAGTGGATTCCAGTGGTCAATTCTCTTCTATATTAACTACATGTAAATAAAGTGTTAGTGTCAGTTGAGATGCTAGAAAGATCTCACCCAAAGGGCATTGGTAGCTCTTAAACTGAACCATCACACAGAAACAGAAGGTATAAATCTAATTCATTCCTATTGTGAAGACCATTGTTGACCCAGACAGCTCTCTCAAATGAAATTGTGAATTGCATGGGGAAGAGGGTCCTGACCTTCTAACTTGTTGCCAGGGTCACACATAGTTTATTTTGTTTTGTCCAGTATCTGTGGCAGGTACATAAACTGCAGTTCAAAGGTGGATGCATTCCATGGACTCATCTGAACTGCGGTCTGATGAAGTTTGTGTGCACATCCCAGATCAGGGATGGCCTCCAGATCTCACCTGGCTGCTGACACCTTGACACATTGTCTGCTGTCACACAGACAGCAGAACTGATGCACACCCTATTTTTAATGCAGCTGATGTAGAGGGCAGAGAGCTGCTAAGCACATCATCCTTCTGAGCAGAGCAGTGACTGGTTTCAGTGTGGTGTGTAGGAAAAAATAAATTAAGCTAATCAGATCTTCCTTGTCCCATTTCTTGGGTCTCCTCCACAGGATCCACGGATGTCCCCTGCAGAGGGTCTTGTTGAGTTTACCATCAGTGCTTTTTAGAAGAGGCAGACCTCATCTGGCCAGTTAGCACATCATTAAATATTTCATGACGTGGCTACTAATACCTGACCTGGTGCCTTTAAGCTGCAAAACAACTTAAAGGCAGTTGAGCTGCTAAGGGTACAGAGTGCAGGGCAGCCCAAATCTTGCTTTCTTTGGGGCTGCACTCGGTGTGCAGGTGAAGATTCATCCAAGTCTCTGCCCTTGCCTGGATTTTCTCTTGGAAAGAACACACCTTTATAAATAAGGCTATTTATGGATTTTCAGCCAGGTTTAATACTGAGGGAGGATTCCTTTTATGTCACCTGGCATGGGAAAGAATAGAAACTTGAACTGAAGAATTGAAGTGGGAATTGGACAGGGAACCGCATGGCACAGCCACTGTCAAAGACAGTCACAAATAAATTTCTCAAATTGCACCTGCTTTTTGGTTGCCTTAAGTTTTGATTTCTCAGATATAGAAAGCATTTTAAGAAGGACCAAATTCAGATGAAATCGATAGGAATGACAGACCCTTGTCAAATAAGAAAAGTGAAGCAGGCTTGTCTAGCATACACTTATACCAATTTCAGAAGTGTATCAATGTCAAAATCATTTTTCGTTCTTTTTCATTCTCTTGTCATGTGAGGGTTAAATCTCATGAGTTGCCACATGCATCTAATCCTGTATCAGAAAGCCTGCAGCAGATGCAAGACAGGTATTTCCAAGAATCACCAAAGGCCAAAGAATTCTTCTCAATATACCAAATTATAATGAATTTGTCTGTTAGTTTTATTCTCTGCAAATTTAGCCAAAAAAATTGCACCAAACAGAGATTATCTTACATGCCAATGGCTATTCTGTCAATTAAGTAATTACCAAAATTGTGCCTCATGTCATAGTTACTGGCCTCAGAACAGACTCAGGCCAGTCTTCAAAGGCTGTAACTGGCCTGCATTGTTTACTCCACTAACAACAGCAATTTGTTCTCCCTGAAGATCCATCTCAGAAGGATGCAGCATGATTTAGCAGAAGAAGCAGATGAAGTAAGAAGATCCTAATCCTCTAGATGTCTCTTCCAATACAGAATAAACAATGAAGATGAAGGCAATGCCTGCATCTGGAAAGGAACAGAAGCTCCCTGGATGAAATGACTGTTAGGAGATGCCAACAATGCTGAGGAATTGAACATGAAGTTTCCTATAGTGGGCAAAACCCAACAAAATATTGTTGGTTCAAGTGCACTCTGTCCAGGGCTGTTCAATACCCAGTAAGTACTGGTAAGCCCAATAACATGTTCTTGTGCTCTGTGCCAAGGATGCTCAGTTGTGCAGTTGCAGTGTAATTCAAGCAGTCCCTACAGAAAGTGCCCTGGATGTTGTGTGGAGTGACAGGGGTCATTCTTGACCGGAGCCATGGCAGAGAGGCTGCTCCTTGGATCAGTGGGGTAGAAGTGAGAGCCTTCCCACTGACTGTGGGTGTCTCTGACCATCTGACGTCTAAGCAAGTCACCCTCTGCTCCCTGTGAAGCTGGTAGAAATTTGTCATTGTAGATAATTGAGTTAGAGGTGAGATTAATCTCATCCTAAAGCTGATGTGTGCCTTGGTTCTTGTACCCTGTGCTGCCTTATTTCCCACCAGCTGTAAAGAGTGTACAGCCATCAAACTTGAAATCAGATGGATGCTATTTTATGGACACCTTGACTGACACCAGGTAAGACCTCCATAGGATGTTCAGATAGGCTTAGCTTCACGAGCTTTTCAGGTAATACATTCCCACTGCTGAGATCTTGGACTCATTTCTTCCCAGTGGATTGAATGAATTTCCTGCTCTCCCTCAATATAATATCAATTTCTGTGAAATTAATATTTGGCCAAGGCTTAGGGAGCATACTTACCCCTCTGCAGCTCAGGGACAGGTGACAAAAATGTGTTTATTTATTCATACATTGATCCTAAATATGGCAAACATTCATGGATTTGGAGCAGTCTATTTCCAAGAGAAGCAGTAAACAGAGAGAAACAGATCCTGGCAGCATCCCACACTGTGGGACTCAGAGAAGATGCAATAATAATATTCTGCACATCTGAGGAGCTCAAAGCACTTGGCAAATATTAGTGACTTGAGCCTTACAACCTATGTTTATGTGGGGAAGTTTAACTCCCAATTAACAGATTGGGAAATTGAGGCAGAGTTACATTATGCATCTTACTTAGCAGCACATAAGTCAATAAAAGAGTGGAGTGTATAAACCTGGAGTTCCCTACACTGAATAACCTTTTTTTTGGAACAGAAAGAAAATTTGGCCCCATAAGTAACAAATCGACTTAGCAAACGATTTTCTATAAAATAGCATTGGAGTCTCACTGTGAGCAATTTTATAAGCACTATGAAGATTTTCAAAGTAGTTTGGGGGATTTATATTTACATTTTACAATAAATAAATAACTATGTTCGATCCCAGAAGCTGGCTTTGATGATTTAAAATTCTACCCTTAATTTAATTTCAACATTGTATTTCAGGGGTAATTATATATGAAATCACATGAGAAAAACTTAGTTCACAAACCCATTTCAATAAGGTCATACTTTGACTCAGGTTTTTCCCTGCTTTTAATATTGGAACTTCTTGGCTAGGTTTGTTAGAGATTGATTGACTTATATTGGAAGATGATTCATGCATTATGGTTCTACAACGGGATATTGCTCCTGAAAATATTTTTACTTTGCTGCTCTGTTTACAAAATGTAGCAAGGACCATCATAACTTGCCTGTTATCAATTCACCATTGTTGTATGGAAGAGTATCAGATAGATATGTATCATAGAAGAAATCAGCTGTACCATTTATATAGGGCAAAGTCATGCAAACCATGCTCAAAACTAAGCTCCTTAGTTTTGGTAGCATGAAAAAAACTGCATTATCAAATCGTATGAAATGGTGCAGAATGACTACCACTAATATCACATGCATCTTATGCAGCCATTGGTGTTTTGAACTAGTAAGCTTTGGGTGTAGAGTAAGTGAGATATACAAAGTATGCTTACATTACATGGAGAAGCCAACCAGTGACTGCCCCCACACGCGCTTTTAAACTGGCTTGTTCGAAGGGGTCCATATTGAATCTGAAATCCCATCTCCTGTAGAAGACAAAGGCATGGAGCCACTTGGTGTGAAGGGGTCTGTGTCTGTGTCTGTCTCCCCCTCTGCCAGGTAGCGTTTCTCCCTCATCCACGCCGCTCCCCCGCTGGGGCCAAACGGGAAGTCGTCTCTCTCCTGGGAGATGCTGAAGCCACTTGGGGAGCGCTCGAGTTCCTCGTGGTTGACTGAGAGAAGGGACAATGGAGTGTCACTGTCTCTTGTTAGGCTCCTTCTGTGCCTTGGAGACACCTTGTCTGAGTAAGGGCTTTGCAGGTCTCCGTGGGAGTGGTAGCTGACCTGGGAGTCCATCAGCGTGAATATCGGCAGAACTGTTGGCCTTTCTGCATACGAAGTTGAGGAAGGTGTGGCTTGCAGTTTGCCAGAGTTTTGCCCACCTGCTGATAAAGGTTGTGAATGAGTCATATGACCTCGTGCTGAGAAACCATAAGGACTGACTTTGTTGACTGGAACCTGCTGGAAGTTGTAAGGAGTTTCACGAGCACACTGCTCAGTGTATTTATATATTATTGTTTTTAATTCAGAATATTTGTTTTCTTCTCTCTTCTCCCTCGCAGGAGAAGCGGTTTCTCTCAGTGGACTTATCTCAGCGACTTGTATTTGCAGCTGTTCCATATGATGCATATGCATATCAACAAGAAAATCCAGTTTCTTCCCCATGTCATTTACCTGAAAAATACCAATGTCATGACATTGCCTCAGGTCAGTTGTTCAACAAAAGAGTCCATGCTCCTATACATGCACTGCCTCCAGCAACGGTGTGCTGTCATCTTTATTGGTAAATGCAGGATAATCATGACCTTCCCTCACAAGCTAAGCTGCAGTTCAGTATCCACCGGCAGTCCATAAGGTTATTAGAAAATCTTGATACCTTATGGTAAATAGCCATAACCAAAATACAGTGTGGAATTTCCTTTGCAGACAGACCTCTCCTCTAACTCTTTAACAGTCCCACAACATGAGGGTTACATATCAGGAGTCATTTCCTTTTTCTTTTCATAGGGCCCCAAAGTACCTTGGGGGGCAATCATTTTGAGTGCCTGACCCTGCAGAAGAAGGGGTTGCTCACAACAGAACACCAGGTGTGATGAGTGTGGTGTTTAAGGAAATGAAAAAGCCCCCCTTAAACGTCATGGTCAGGATCTTCTGCCATATATAATGGTATTGATTCAACAGGTTTCAAAACGCTCATTTCTATCATGAAAAGCTAATAACCAGCAGTAGAATCCTTCCTGGCTCAGCCAGAGTCATACAGGATTTGTGTCAGCTCAGCTGTTTCTGTACAGGCCCCTCAGCCTCCATCACTGCCATGGAATTACATACCTGTCGTTCAACTTTAACAAATTTGCCCATCATACTTTGGTCTTCAGTATCTGCTGTAGATGCTTTGGCTACATACGGATCATTTCTACAAAGAATTAATAACTCTAATTAGTGTTCAATTTTTGCATTGCAGTCAGCAATTACTATCAGAAACAAAATTCACATCTTGGTGATGTATTCCTATAGATCCTCAGAGACCATTTAGTTTTGTATCATAAAAACAAGAGCAAAAATTCTATGTGATTCTAATTCAATTCTAAAAATTGTACTCTTGATTTTTAATTTAATTTAATTTTTTTTTTGTTTTGCTCAATATTAAGATAAAAATTAAGAAAAAACAAAAGCAAAAAAAAAAGTTCAAAATAATGTTGAAATTAATCTCTGGCTTGGTGGAATAATTTCATCTTTGTGAAAAATACTGAGATAGTCTAGTTAGTGGGTCTACAGATGGCCATGTGTTTTCAAATCTAATTCTTTATAATTAGTGTATTTAGAGACTGAATCTGAGTTTCAAGGATGAATGTTATTTTTTTCTTGATTTCATTAAGCCGAATAATAAGTGGCAGAGGCTGGAAATGCCGAAAAGAGACAGTCTGGCAGCAGGTTCCAGAATAAATTTTCATCTATGCAATTTCTTCCTTCCTGTCCAACATATGGACAAACTTCAGGAGGTAAGAAGATGATCTCTAACTAAAGAGCTATGATTTATAACTTCATGGGAGCTAGGCTGCTCATGATCAAGTTAAACCTTTATCAAGTGGTTTCTAAACCAACCTCAAAGGAATCTACGTCTTCCCATAACCTATGCCAGAGTCTAGAAAAACAATTTCTAAGCACTTCGTTGTTCTTTAACATGAATTGTAACAATTACACTCTAAAACTTTTAACAGGTCCACTTCTTCTTTTTCTGACAAAATCCAAAATATAGCTGTGATTTTACCAGAGCAGAAACTATAATGAAAATATGTCAGATTTTCCACATTGTGTTATTGGTGATACGGCTCATTCAGTTTTTGCAATCTGCTTTGTTTCCCAAATGATCGCTGTCTCTTCCATATGCTTAGGTCTCTGTCTTCCCATTTACATGGGTTCAGATATTTTCCTGGGTGGATAATTTATTTTCTGTAAGATTGCTTTTGTTCTGAGAAACTACAACAGCTTTGGGAACAGACTGTTGATGGTCTTGTGTGGTTCTTGATGGGTATTTATTGACAGATTGATAGTTGTAAACAACAGAAGAAATGTCATTTATTATTGAATTCGTGCTACCAGGAATGCAGCAATACAATAAGATGCTGCAACTTTCACACTCAGAAACCTGGTGTTACAATTTATTTTGAGCATCTCTCACCAGTCACTGTTTTAAAAGCAGCAGCATTAAAAATCTTTGCCTGGCATTTGGTGAGGGCCATAATGAAGCTTTTTTCACTTTGGGAAGATAACTAGTTGACTTTCAAACTATTGTTAATGTCAAGCTTTTAAGTGAGTTTACTAATTGAATGTTAGAAATTCAGCACATCAGCAATCAAATGTGTGTAATTAATTTAAAATCGTATTTCCAAACTGTGGAGAAGCTGACAGAGACAAATGAGAAGCCATAGTTTAGATTTCCATCATACATTATTGTTAGGGAAGGCAGTGACTTGCTGGCTCAACATTTACCCGCATGTATATCTTACAGCAACATACCCGCTCAGTATCATTACTGTAACACTTGGTGAATAAAGGTCATGCTTATTGGTATGAATTAACTTTTCATTTCTGTATTGGGCTGTTCTAAATACTAGGCATAGACAAATTCACCTGGGAGACTGTTGTGAAGGGTAAGAGAAAGCTCCTCCCTTTTGGGATTTCTTATGCTTGGGAGTAGATGGAGGTCCAGGTGTAAAAATCATATCTACTCTGAAAAAAAGAAAAGTGCAACTGCATAAGTCCATCTCCAAATGCTAACACGTGACAGAATATGCTATGCATCTCTGAAGCAAAGATTCAAAAAGAAAGCAGGTGTTGATTTGGTAACGTATTGGGGGTCATGGTGTGTTTGTTCTGTTCTGGGTCCACAACCAATATATTGAATTGCAATTATGTGGTAATTTAATGGCAATGAAGTTATGCTCTGGCTCACAGTTTCCACACTTCAACATTTGAAACACTTGACTTCTTTTCCTTCAAAGGAACCAAACAGCATGATTGTCAAAAAATCCCCAATAGCAGCTGCTCTTAAAAATATCAGGAGACCTATCAGGTTTCGTGCTGGATAATGAAAATCAGAACTTGGTGAAAGGCAGAATTCCCTAAATTCTCAATAAACCAATGATATTCTGGCAGTTGCTGTATCTAATTGTTCAGCAATATTTTTGTACTTACTAATTGGTTCTTTTTTGGTTTGAAAAACATAACTTTAAATGAAGTTTCACAATGAGTTCAAAAAGATATTACTGCATAAAAAAATCTAGGCTTATGTGATGCAGAGTTCATTTTAGAGAGTAACAATGGTGGTTTGTAAGGTAGGAACCAGACTTGTTATATGCTTGAAAAAGAGATAGCCCAGTACATGGAAATACCAAATTATCCCTGCTAGCTACTCACGTGGCTTTTTAATTCAGGAAAAAGTTTCCTTATGGACTAGCTACACTATGCAAAGTCATGGCTGCTGGGTGATCTTACACAAGTAGGTCAAGTATGCCTTTATTTTGCCAGTAAGATAAACATTTTCCCCATTAACCAGGAGATTCTTACCTTGCCTGAAGGTATTTTATTCTGGAAAGCATATCGAGATGCCCTGCTGAGTATTGCTCTATCACATCCTTTACATCATAAGGCCTCAAAGTCTCCTTGAATTTTTTTTTATAGAGACGAAACTGTAATATTCTGCATAATAAACAGAAAAAAAATGTTAATTTATTATATAAACTCTATAGTGGTAATTTCCAATTTCATCAAAAATTGATAAATACACTAGGTGTTTGGAAATTGGGCATCTTATTTCCAAACAAGGCCATAAAATATAAGCAGAGAATCTCTAACATCATACCACATTTGGAAACACTTAATAGTTGGTTTTTCATAATTAATAGGCTAAAACAAATGGTTAAAAGCTACAGGATCTTATTTGGAGTTTGAATTTGAACAACACAAGCCATGGGAGATCTTGAAGCTGTGAAGTTGAAGTTGCTTTTTAATGATTCAGCCCATTATAAAGCTAATTTATAGCATATGTAATGCTGATAATTTTCATCTTGGTTTTCATTTTGCACCTGGGAGAATTTTGGATAGGAAATGCAAATTAGATATAAATGTGGAAGTTAGGAAGTTAGCAGCAGTTCAAGTTGTGAAGAGAAGAAAAATAGTTAGAACTGTCTGAAGTGTCCTTGAAAAAAGCAGCAGTAAAACATTTTTGTTGTTGCTGTAATGATAATAATACAATTTCTGTTATTATTGCTATTATTATAAAATGACTCAGTAATTAGTAACCAAATTCTTATAATAAGAACCACTGCTGGCCAGAGCACTTAAAAAATTATTTGGCATTATTTTTCTTCATTCTTTTCTGTTTATACATTGCTTTAAGAAGTTAAGTCTTGGTAGATTAAACAAATAGAAGAAACTTGTTCAAAGAATGAAACCTTTATCTTCATATGTTTTAGGCTTGGGTTCTGGGGGTTTGTTTTCTCAGTAGTCTTCATGTTCTTGTTGGTCAGAATTGGGAAATTCCTGTCATCTGTTAAGATTCTGACTTGGGTTTTATTTAATGTTAGTGGGGCTTTTAATGTTTTTAAAATCTTCGTAAACTTTCATTTAGCAAAGATAATTCTGTTATGACTCTTTAAGGGCTGCTGACTCTTCAGCTCTGTTGCTTATAAATCTTTCAAGATTTCAGAATTATATCTGTGCCTATTTTAGCCAAATCATATATGATAACAGCAAAACTATACATTAAAAGACATAAATGAAAAATAGGAATCACACTGTTAGCAATTTCATTTTAAAATCTCCTTGATCATGACCCTGAAATCCATTAGGTGGTATTGTCTGAAAGAAATACTTCCCACTAACATTCAGGGTCTGGATAAACTACAGAAGAAAAAAAAAAAATCTTGGCTCCTGTTTGAGTTTAAAGGGAAATTACATGAGTCAATTAGATTTGGTCAGGATGTGGGAAAGCAGTTTTGCAAAAGTAATAAGTAGCATGTCTCTGAGTTAGAAAGCAAGAAGGTATCAGGGAAAGAAAGGGAAAGCTATGGAGGACATAGGGATGAAGAAACTTCCAGTGGGAGGGAAGCAGTCATGGGGAACATGAGCAAAGCCTGTTGGATGTGGCTTTCAGTAGGCTTGAGAAAACTTGGAATTTTTAGTGACTGGTTCTCCTGCAGCCAGTTGGAAAAGACCTAGGAGAGTAAATCCTATGGTTGTATGTATATAAATATATGGTTTTATTTTTACAACCATCTTCCTTGACGTTTTTCTTAGATAATTTTGGGGCACTCCAGACTTGCAGTATTTCATCTGAAAGGTGCTAAGCCCCTGCCCCAAAACTTAGTAACTTCTGGAATAAACAGCAATTGCAATGAAAGCAGAGCATTTTCATATGGGAGCATTTTTTCAAGGGAAAACAGAACATTGAGAAGTTACAGAGCATCAGTGAGTGTATTCTCTTTGCTTGATGTGCTAAACACATTATCAAGGCCTACTAGGAGTTTTCTAACCCCGGGGAATATCTCTTGTGACATGAAAATAGAGGTGACATGTGTCACAAGCCAAAACCTGCTGAAATGGAGAACTCAGCCTCTATTAAAAGATGACAGCTGAAAAGTACATTGCACACTCATACAATTGTGAATAAAGAAGAGCTGAGTCAGCTCAGTGTTTTTTAGTGAAAATTCTAGTTTAATATAAATATTAGTCAATAAACTGAGTAATATGTCATATTCATACAGTATTTTAATGTGGAACTGTATACAATATTATTTTATAATAAGTATGGAGTTTCTTGCAAAAATGACATGGTCAGTGTTTTTGAAAAACATTCTCCTTTCTGCATATTTTCAACAGACTTTGAATAGGGTCTGTCTTGTGCTTTTGAATGCAGCCAGAATTATCTATTATATTGCATTTTTAAAAAAAGCAATAACAGCAACAATGAATCAACATGAAGCAACATGGTAAAGTGATTTCCTGAAGCCTAAACATTATTAACAAAACAAAAAAACCCAAACCAACCAAAAAAAGAAGAAAAGAAAAAAAAAAAAGAAGGGAGAAGAAAAGAGAGGAGGAAAAAAATAGGCATTGAGGAGCCTTAGGGATGTTTACCTGACAGCTCGGATGGCTGTCTTGAATGTGGGGATCATATCTTCCATAAGAAAATCATTACTGTCGCCTCTGTCTTCTGCCATGGGTTCCCCTGTTCCTGCATCTGCAAAGCAGGCCAAAAAACAGCTGTGTGAACATCTGACCACACAGTAATTAGAGGGATGTCTGTCTGACTAAAGCACTGCTTCAAGTATGTGCAGTTTAATAAAGGAACATCTCTTACATGTTCCTCTTTCCCTGTTCAGCTCTTGAAAGGGAGTTAATAGTTCTGGGACAACTGTAAGTCAGATTATTTGAGGGATCTCCTCTCAGATTCCAGCATTTCTGAAACACTGGGAACTTTTCTTCCTTGACAATGGATCTTTGCCCAGATATTTTAGGTAAAGGCTAAAACAGGTTTAGGTGGCACAGATCAAGCTCTCCTTTCACTTTCACTGCTTGGAGCTCGTGTACCTTCATGAAGAAGAATAATAATTAAGTTCCTGGTGTGGAACACCCAGATTTCATCCATGGTAATATGTCCAGCACTGATGCCAGCTGGCTCAATAAAGGAGAAACTGTTAAAGACCATTTGGATGCTATAGGCAAGAAGAGGAAAATGTGTGCTCAGGGAAGCTGAGAGGAAAAATGCCCTATAATGTTGTGTGGACACCTGGTGGAAATCTACTGAGGGGCAGAGGGTTTGGGGAGAGAGGAGGGGAAGAAGACCTTGAGTCTATAAAACAAGGGGGTTTTTTATGAGATGGCAGTGAGGAGATATTTGAGATGCCTGGACACAGGCTAGTGCAGGGCTGAATGCAGTCTAGGAGGGAGCTACCTTAGCACAGCAGCCCTGCTGATAAACCAAGCCATGATGGTATGTGTTTTTGGGGGGATGTATGTTCAGTGCCCAGTGTGCCCTCTTTTTCTAGGTCAAATAGGCTGATTCCAACACTGGCTTTATCCCGTATCAATTGCTGTTTTCATGGATGTTTGCTATCTTTTCCCAAGCACTGTGTTGCCTGGACTCCGGGATTCATTTCCTTGGGCTTCCCCAATTGTACCACGTAAAACCAGGTACCAGATACGCTTGGACCACAAAGTCAAAAAACCTTCAACAGAAGATGCAGAGGAACAAAGTAAAAAGGGGAGAACAGGGGATGCATAGGAACAAACCAACACAGATGGGCTACCTTCTGAGCTTTGCCAAAAAGCGTACGCTTTCATTCGGAATGCAGTGCGAAAACGCTCCTTATTATTCAAGACAACATTCTTAGGCTCTTTTGAAGGACTTTCTTCAATGGCATCTACATTCAGAGGGGTAAATAGCTTTCCTTTAGTATTGGTACCACGAACCCGATCCAAGAGACCCAGCTTTTGGCTACAAAATAAGCAAAAGTAAACATTTTCCTCCTTTGTACACTATTAACTTGTTTTCATGATGCTTTAAGTATATAATGGGTTAAATCAGTGTTTTGTATACAAGGACACTGCTGGGGCTACCATAATAAATGAACATCTTCGTAAGCAACAGTTAAGCTCCACAGATAATTGACTGCTTTTTATGAGCACTTTTGTATCAATGTTGAAAATGTTACCAGAGGGTCTTGCTGTCCTATCCGTGCAAGGTATCACAGTGCTTCAGCTCACGTAGCATGCCTGAAGTTTTAATATTAAGACAAAAACATCACTACTGCCATGAGCAGGGACACCTTCCACCAGACCAGGTTGCTCAAAGCCCCATCCAGCCTGGCCTTGAGCACTTCCAGGGATGGGGCATCCACAGTTTCTCTGAGCAACCTGTTCCAGTGCCTCACCTCCCTCACAGTGAAGAATTTCTTCCTAATATCTAATCTAAATCTGCCCTCTTTCAGTTTGAAGTCATTCCCCCTTGTCCTATCACTACCTGTCCTTGTTAAAAGTCCCTCTCCTCCTTTCCTGCAGTCCCCCTTTGGTTACTGGAAGTGCTTCAAGGTCTTCCTAGATCATTCTCTTATCCAAATGCAACAACCCCAACTCTCTCAGCCGTTTATTCATATAAGAACTGTGCATAGTCAGGAGTACAAGAAAGTCAGAGGTGCTGTGAAAACTCTGGCAAGGCATTGCCAAGCAATGAGTACGTACATGGCAGGGCAGGCTGCCCTGTTCTCTCCACCATTCGCTGTCAGCCGTCTCTCACTGCCCCAAGAACTGAGGTGACCTACGTGAGTTGTAGTGACGTATTTTGTTCCACGGATGATTCCTTGGACTGTCCCTCTAACAGATTTACTGCCCAAAGACACTTGTCCTTCAGTGACAACATACAGCTAGAATTTCATCTGCCTGCCATTTTACCAGCATCACTAACCCTGATGGCCTGATGACAGAAACCATCTAAAAGGCAATCACTAATACCACTGAAAAGAGCAACAGAAAAGGAATCTGCTGGTGAGTATATGAGCTTATATATGTTCTGAACACTTTTTAGGTGATAGATGGTATAAATATTTGATTTGCTTTTTCACTTTGCTGCTCAAACATTTGTTATTAGCACATTTGCTATTAAAAAGAAAAAAAATAGCAGGGCTAAGCCATGGGAAGAAAGCCTGCCTTTTAACCCATTCCTGGATGCTGCAGTGTGGGACAGCTCTAGGAGAGGTGAATTGTGCACACATGATCAAGAAGCAGTTCTGTGTGGGACACCAGGTCAAGCAGGTTGAATGTGGGGAGGGAAGGAGGGAAGAAGCCATCATAGCTGGCAGGTTTCTGAGAGCGACAGGTGGGAGCAGAGCTGAAGGATGAAAAGCCACAGTTACCAGAAGAAAGAGTTAATAGGTATCCAGTAAGGAATCTATGCAGTAGGATCAGCTGAAACCACTAAACCTGCTGGCAGGACAGGCAAGTCTGGGCAGGGCCCACCATGCAAGGACATAGTGGACAAAGATGGAGACTTGGCTGCTGACCTTGCAAGTGTGAAAGATGGATCTATTTCTATCGCAGAGATCTGTCTGTTGCAGTATTATATATATATACACACCATAATGGAAATTCTGAGGACATTCCTCTTAAAATGATAGAGGAAAGCCTTAAAAGTATGCATGATGACAGTACAGCTTTCATAAGAGTGCTAACTCTAGTGAAAGTAGAAAAAGTAAGAAAAAGTGGTAAAAGTAAAAGATTTACAGCATACAAAATTTACACCTGATCTGAGCATTGAACACCACAGCTGTTGTAAGTTTTTGCATTGGTTTTTTTCTGCATTAATTACTGAGGTCCTCATCTCTACTAGCTGTTTCTGATTAACAGATCTTTGACCCAGAAAGTAATGAAATATGGGCTTCTCTGTCACAAAAAGATGAAAGCACTAAAGCTTTGGGTAGGAAGTTTTTTCGGCCCTTCAGAATTTTCTTGTTGATATGGCAATATACAAAAATATGCACAGGAGAAGATGGCAACTACTGAGCAAGTTTGAAAGGGCATGAAAAAAATAAAGTTGAGGAAGTAAAAATCAACAGAATGATTTGTGTGTGGATTTTTGGGGATTAAAGTAGGGAAAATAAATTCACATATTGCAATAATAATAATAATAAAATCAAAGTTTGAAGGAGGAATTAATTTTGAGAAGGGAGGTCAAGAAGAGTCTGGAATCATGCACATCACAGAAAAGAATTTTAATGCAAAGAAATGCACCAGAAATCTAGCTGAGTGATAACAGAATCAGCCAGGCAATATAAACTTGTGAGCCTGAAGGTGTTAGAGAGAATGAGCTTGTGAGAGCGAGCATTTCTTTATATAAACTAAAAGAGCACTTAGGCAAGTGTGGCATGGTGGTGATCTTTGTAGACTGAAGGAGACTGAAATAAGCTACAAGAAGGAAGAGACTGAAGCAGTTTTAGAATGAGGAGATCTGTTCAATGATAATAAAATGAAGAAATTTCTCCCTGGGTCTGAAAAAAAAGGCTTGTTCAAAAGGCTTTTTGTGGAGATCAGCTTTTTCCTGGTGGGAGGATTTACAGGTCACCAATGATAGATAATTGATAGATGAATCTCAAATGAAAGGAAGAGTGTAGCCCACCTATTCTTCAGGATTTTAAGATTCGATGTCTTGGATCAAGATCGTTTGGAGAGACTTTATGGGATGAAAAGGATTAAATCTAGCAGTGAAACTCAGATGATTTCAGATGATGAGGTAATTTCCTCAAAGCCAAGAAGAGGTCACATACTACACACTGGCTTCAAGAAACATATTAAATGTCAAAAGTTTTAAATTATTAACACTACAGAGAAGCTCTTGAGAGAAGAATATGTTTAAGGCAGAGAACCTTAAATATGAAGAAGCAGAAAAATAGATTAGAAAGAAGATTGCTGTTGTTTATAAAAAGTAGTTTATGTTGGAAGAAAATACTTGCCATTACAGGTGGTCTCTGACTCTCTCCCCAGAGACCTGCTTAGTCCTTCAAAATGCATATCCAGATGTCCCAAAATTTCCCCCTTAAAACTCCTGTTATAATTGCCTTCCTTACCAAAACACAAGGAGCCAGAAAGTGCATTGCAAGGCTCTATAAGGATCAGACCAGAAAGAAAAGGATCAATGGATGATGCAAAATACCCAAAACATTAATCTAGTGATTTTTTTTTTCCAATGGAATAGGAAACATATAGCTCTGTCATGGAGCTATAAAAGAATAGGATTGACCAAAATTTGATATCCTCCTCATAGATCAAAACAGATCAAAATAATCCTCTGCACTGTCGTGGGTTCAGGTGGCTGCGTTTTTGGTAGTAGGGAGGCCATAGGGGTGGTTTCAGTCAGAAGCTGCTAGAAGTTTTTCCTGTCTTATGAAAAGCCAGTGATAACCAGCTCTAGGAGGGATTTCCTGTTGCTGGCCAAGGCTGAGCCAGTGAAGGTGCCGTTCTGTGGTAACATATTTAAGAACAGAGGAAGAGAAGGCTGTGTGGCAGAAGAAATTCCAGCCCGGAGATGAGCAGAGAAGAACATGGCATAACGAGCAGACTCCAAGGTCAGCTCCCCCTCCAGCAGGGGAAAGACTGAGAGCCGAGGGCCCTGCCACTCGTGGAAGACCACTGGGGTTTGGAGATTTCCACACCCCTCCCAGACAGCTCATGGAAGAGCCCAAGCTGAAACTGGTGGTTCCATGAAGGAAGCTGTGACCGACCCCGTGGGAGGCCCAAGGATAGAGCAAAGTCCTGCAGGAGACCTGTGGCCCGTGGAGAGGAGAACCCACGCTGAAGAAAGTTTTCCTAGGTAGGACTTGTGGCCCTGTGGGGGGACCCAGGCCAATACAGCTCATTGGTGAAGGAATGACCCCCGGGACAGCAGATGGGGAAGAACTGCTGCCCGAGGGATAGACTCATGCTGGAGAAATCCATCAGGGGCTGTCTCCCGTGGGAGGGACCCCACGGAAACAGGGGAAGGACTCAGAAATGTCCCCCTGTGACCCATGGGGAAGACCATGGTGAAACAGGTTTCCCCTTATACTACCATGGAGGAGTAACCTCCAGGACAACAGAATGGGAAGAGCTGCGGTCCGGGGGAGGGACTGAAACAACAGCAAACCCACTTTTTTCCGTCCTCTGCATGTCTGGGAGAAGGAGAGGAGATCTGCAAAGAAGGAGGAGTGGGGGAAGGTATTGTATTTCAAGACTCTTCTATTTTTTACTCTTTAGCTCTTATTCTGTTAGCATTGAATTTAGCTTTTAGTTTGTTAGTAATAAATCTAATTTTTATTCTCACTCTGAGTTTGTTTTGCCTGTTAACACTGCCTCCTCCTAGTTCTTATCTCTACTCAAAAATCCTGGCTGTTTTTTTTTTTTTATTTTCTCTCTCCTCTGCCCACTTGGAGAGGGAAGGGGTTGGGGGGAAGCGGCTTTCAGTGGGTGCTGGCCCCTGGCCAAATGACTACATGCATTCAGCACAAAACTCTACTTTTTTGCGGTGACATTTTCCACTGGATATGAAGGCACATGCATCTGTGGGGTATTTGGTTGGTTGGTTGGTTGGTTGGTTGGTTGGTTGGTTGGTTTTGGGGGTGGGATTTATGGCAGATAATATGAACTAAAAGCATTCCCAAACTCTCTTTCCAGGGAGTTTCTCCACTATCCCCATTGATAAATGTCAGTTTAGGAACAAACTATTCTCCCGAGACCGTTGCTGTAACATCTTAAATTTAGGAGCTAGAACTCATCTGATCTGTCTTCAGCTGCTAAAAAAGCCTACCTTCCTGTCTAAGATTAATCTTTAGACCTATTTCTGTATTCAGTGGGAAGTTAGCAACCCTAACCAGTGAGTGGGAAGAGTGGTTCAGCTTGGGAAGACTTTACACTTGGGGGACTTGGCTCTTGTTACTGACTACAGAAAGATCTACATGAGAGGTCATTTAAAAAGCAGGTCTCTAGTCTAAGTTAAAATTACCTGAGCTGAAGCCCTCCTTGTTAATTGAATCCTGATGATTAACCCTTAAAGTAACATTCAGATTCGTAACAGTATGTTTGTGCAATAAATACAGCAATTGTGTTCATAGCCAGGCAGCCAGAGCAGTAGAATCATCAGAAAATAATTAATCAGCTTCACATCCCAAAGTACAACAGTATGTTGTATACAAAAGAACCCAAAACAAAACCCAAGCTTCTTTCCAGATAATGACTAGCTGTCATCAGGGGGAAAAAAAAAAAAGAGACTTTATTCTCATTTCCAAGGGATGAAATCTGGATCTGCTGGGGTTTTTGTTTTCATTGATCTTTTTTGAAAAGACTGAGGAAACATTTGTTCTCATGACACAATCTCCTCCATTAAACCAGCATGCGCATGGCTCAGTCCCAGGGTATGAAGCATGCGCAGGTCACATCATCCTCCATGAGAGTGGCTAGGACAGTGGTTCCCACCCACAGCTTCATGCACTGCTGCCTGTCTCCTTCAGAATTCTCCAGCTGGTGTTAGCTACTCTTCCTCCCCTTGAAACAGTGGTCCTGTTTCATTTGGCACTCTTACATTCAATAATATGTGATTCCCGACTTCCAACACAGTTCCAGGAACTGGGGAGATTCAAATGCATCCCAAACACACTGATAAAAATGCAGGGTAGTTTCTCTGACTACCTTGGATATGTTTCCATTGCTTGTCTTGCGTGCTATTGCATCCTCTCCCTCATGGGTTCCAAAACCTGTGTGTTTGAAATGGGGACCCAGGACGAGAATTCATTAACTCTTGGTAGATACATAAAGAAAGGAAGGTGGAAGGAGTGAAGACAGTTTCTTTCTTCCTAAAGAAAAATTCAGCTCTCAAATTCTTTTTCCCCAAGAGCAGTGGGAGTTATTTTGGACCACCTGAGAGATTAATTTGGTGGATGGACATACAAGAGATGTCTGGCTTCTGCAGCACGTTTTACCTTTGCTCAGAATAAAGAGTGGGAACCACTGAACTAGAAATACTTTTCCAGAAACAATCATGCAAAGAAACAATGCAGTTACATCCCATCATGCAAGCCAGATACTCTCCTCTCTGTCCTCTGCCTAGTATTGGAGTTTCATAAACAAATGGTACATGTATGAGGAGAAAAATAATAAATTAATGCTAACAGTGAATCAAACAGCCCTATGCCATGTGTTTATCACTTTCACCTAACAAGAAATGAAAATAACCTGGGAATTTTTCCATATTTTCCACAAGTTAGCTAATCACTGGATTCAGTTAATCTCAAGCAACTGGAAGCAAAAGGCAGTCATGTTTACTCCAATATTTTTACAGTTTATCAGCTGAACATGTATGGGTGAACTTAGATTTGGAAAAACAAACACTCTGAATGAGATTTCCAGAAGTATTCTGATTTGAACTTTCCCCTAGTAGAAATTAGCACAAAACTCATGTTATGAAGACAGATGTGAATCCTGCAGTGAACATGTTCAACTGATCTCAGAAAGTCTATGAGTTTTCTTAAGATAAAATAAAGAACATTCTGCACTTCAAGGTACTTCTAAACTTTGGCCAATCAGCTTTCCCTTTTATTGAGTGACATTCTTTTCTGCAGAGAGGATCTCACAAAAATGTTTAATCTCAAAATAGTTGACCCCAACTTCCTGACAACTAAAACCGTCACTTTGCATCCTGAACCTTGAGGTCTAAATTTACGAATTTCTGATGTCTGAGGAGGAAATATCTTTTCTAACTCAACCAATTTCCATACTCTTAGGTGGTGTATGTCCTCATTGGTATTTAAGGGTGAGTTGACTTCAAATACAAACTCTCTACAGCCCAGATTATCTACCCAGAAACATGAACACAAATCCTAACTTGGGCTCAACTTTGATGCCCTTCGGAGAGAGCCCTTGTGCACACTAAAGGCCTTTGCTTAGCCCCTTTTCTCACCCACACTTTCAAAAGTGATTGGGAATGGGTAAAAATAAACAATGTCACATAAATCTATGGGAAGAATAATCCAAATCCAATTCTTTGTCGAAACAGGATGGATATTTTTTGCCAGTGCATGCAGCCATTGTAGGTAGAAACCATATGGATGTTGACCCCTTTTTGCTTTGAAGTGAACATATCTCGATGTATCAACCACTAGAAAGCAAATCAAACTGCAAAATCAGTGTCTTCTGACCATTTTGTAGGGGCCAATCACCAATGAAAAAATGGAGAGCTTCACTAGCAGCTCTCCAAAAGTTGAAGAGCTTCAGCTAGAAAAGCTGAGTTGTGTGTTGATGATTTCACGTTTGATGAATGAAGTGGGAATGAGAACAGTGAGCTGAAGTTGAATGACAGCAAAGTGTTTGTGTGGGATAGGATAAAGTGCTTGACAATTCAGTCAAAATATTATTTCTAATGATATTTCTTTCCTATTCCTGAAATGAGAAGGATTATCTCTATGACTCTAAAGGAAGATAAAGTTCTTGCCCCTCATCTTAGGTCACAGTTCAGGAAGATATTAAAGCATGTCACTAACTTTTTTCAGATGATCAAAAGCATCCACTTGTTTTCCATTTGCTGAACCAAAACCTGCAAATACACATGCAAAGATGCTCTTCCAGTGAACTCAAATTCCAAGTAACTTGCATGAATTTGTGTTGGCAGGGTTGGGACTGCATAAGGAACAGTTTTTAGTTCTTACAGTGTATATTTTTTTCAGTAAATTTCAAAATGATTCGCAGAGTAGGTTAGTATCACTCCCGTTCTATGAAAACAGAGAAAAGCACTTGTTTCCAAGCATATCATTGGGAGAGCTAGGATTATATCCCATATTTTCTGAACAGCAGAACAATTAACTATTTGCAAGGTCATGCAACTTTCTTTTTATGCTTAATAACTTTTCAGTCTTATCACCCCTTACTTTTGATGGTGCTTAGGTGAACTACTGTAGTAAAAACAGAAAGTGCAGGCAGGGGATGGCATGCAAGAAATATGAAAAGAATAAGGCTCAACTGTTACTTGAATGTATATACCTAAGTTTTCTTGTGAGGCTTGATCCAAAGAATGACTCCCTACTAAACATGACATTACTGTAAAGTGAAGAAAAGTTATTAAGATGAGACGTTAATGATTACCCATGAAAAGCTCTGTGAAAAAGAATGGGAACAGCCTTTCATTTGTAGTTAATGTAGTGTGGAGATCAGAGTGGCTTTTTTCTCCTTCCTGTTTTTAGGGCAGATGTATTAAGATGAAACGCTGACAGTGAAATTTTACACCTTGCAAAGTATGGCTTTATTTGCCTTTTGTTGTTAACACTGACAATACAAAAGTGCGCCACATTTTATGAATTCTTTCATTCAAATAGGTAGGACTGGTACTGATTATGCCACCTAAAAAACCCAACTTTCCAAAGGTAGGGAAATATTATTTATCTTGTAGAAATAATGAAACAGGGATAAATGACTTTTCTGTAATCACATAATAATAGATCTAGGAATGAGCATAATCTCTTGATGTCTAGTTCTATAGGTGGAAAATGAGGATTAGGAACAGGACCCTGAGAAAAAGTTCAAAACTCTTCACTAAAATGCCTGTCCATACAAGTGCTGAAGTTTCAACACTAGTCAAAATCAGATGAACAGCTGCTAACAACAGCACTGAAAAACTGTGCTCAATATTCATTACCCAAACTTAGACATAGAGAGTTGGTTCAGAATAAACAATATGTCCATCAAGCAAAGGCCCATCTTAAATGTAGGTCAGGCTACCAAATGTTTGCTGAATGATTTGCTGCACTCCAGCAGAAATGAGCATTAGTATCTCTTTCTCATAAATCTTCCTTCTTGAGAACTGAACAGATGAAAAAGCTTTGCAATACTGGCAGAAGAGCAATCGCTACCTGAGATTTCCTGGGGCCGGTAGGTTTAGGCATTGATTAAGGAAAAAAAAAAGCTGGAGGCACTTCTGGCATAAACTCACAAAATTCCCCACCAGTGAGCCATGGATAGCACAGCCCCAGTTCCTCCTGGTTTGGGGGATTATACAGACCCTGTAGGGAAAATGCTACTCTTAAGAGAGCTGCATCACATGTACCACTTCCCTTCACTGCTTACAGGACCCAGTCCAGCTCCAGGGCAGTCAATTGTCCTCTTCATCATATCTCATATCTTCACAGTTTTAGTTTAAAGGGAGCTTCAGTAAAGCCTTGAAGGGGCTGCTGCCAAACCTCAATTGGTTTTCTACTATGACAAGTCCTTCCTTGCAGCCTCGCCTTGGGATCCAACTTCTGAAATGGACTCTTCCACTCTGTTGTGTCCTCTGTGTTTTTCCCAAATGGTCTAAGAACAAGGAGCTGTATGATAATGCCAGATCCTGCTTCCAAGGAGGGATCATAGAAGGATCTGTCACAGTGTTTAACTCTAGAACTGTGGAGTTCCTAAAGAGTTTTCACATCACTCAATAGAAACCCTGCCTCTTAAAGCGCTCCCACCCCTCAAATTTTGAAACAGCCAGGTGTAATTTGTAGTTTATTAAAAGCTTCTGTGAAAGCTTTGGACCAATTCTTCTCTCTTCTTTATCAACCACTGATTAGACAATGCCATTTATTGCTATAGCAGCTTTCCCATTAAGTACTTAACTGATGGATGAACCTGCAAACTGAGGGCATTTATGGGCTGTTCTCTCCAGTAGTACAACATTCCTTTATTGCTCATTTATTTCAATACAGCCAAAGCACAAACTGCAGTGGAGTATGAGTAATACATTCTATACTAAATCACTGTAGGAGGAAGAAGTTTTTTCCTTTTTTTTTTTTTTTTAAATTATCTGGTCTGTAAATAAGAGTTTTATGAGAGATGTGAGGTAGGGCTGTCAAAACAACCAGATTTTATGGCTCAATCCCAGTTCTACTGAAATCAGTGGATGCTCCCACAAGTGCCATCATTTGTCTGTTTACCTGGAGGGTTTCCAATGCATTTAATTGAATGCTGCATTCCATAAACACATTCCTGCTAACAGGAAGGCCCCAAGGCAGGTTTACTGATGATTTTGCTGGAGGTTATTACATGTGTAACAACATAAAAGCAAGATATATCCAGCTAGAAGGAGGTACCTTGGAATTACAGTTTTAAAGACTTTGAGTTGTGAGTCATACTTTTCCATTTTTAATTCAGTATGTCAACATAAAATGATTCCTACTGGTCTGAAAGAGACAGTAACTCAGAGACTACTCCACAAACTGTTTGGCTGCTGCAGGTGCAGGAGCTTCTCTAGGGGGGCTGTGACCAACAGTCAACTGCAGCAGCCACTCACTTCCCTAATTTTAATCATCTGCTGCTGCTGCATCTGAGTCAGAACGTTTCAACTCGAGGTGTGGAATTACATACTCAAAAGGATTTTGGCTCCTAAGCTCTCTCCTACATTTTAAAGACCAGAATTCAGCTGTTGCCGACACTGCAGGTGGCTGAAATCTCCAGACATCTACATTAGTGACTGCTTAGCCTGGGCAGTGCCATGGATGTAGAGTACCCAAGATTCCTGAGAGTTCCCAAATTAGGTAACTCCCATCCAGGCAGTCTTTGAAGAGGGGCAGGTTAGCTCAGGATTAGGGTGGCAAGAGGGGGAAGACAACCTTTCCCAGTAATTTGTCACTGCAACACTTGCCTGTATTGTAAGAAAACTTGGGATAGGTTTTCCTTTTCTGTTAAAGGAGATTTGAACCCAAAAATCCAGAGAACAGCAAGTGTTAATTATTTTTTTCCAACTTCCTTTATTGAATGTATTGCATGAAATGTTTAAAAAACAAACGAACAAAAGATAATTTTTTCATCAGGCCAGGGACTGGAACTTAGGCCTGACCTCTGATGAACAGTTTTCAAATATTGCTACAGTTCTTGCTCCTTTTCTCTGCACTGTAAAAGGGGTTACAAATGGACCTAGCTTTAGCAGGAGTCTGTGGAGTTATTTTTTTTTAATTGCTATTGAATTTCATTATGGATTATCCATTGACAGCAGTTTAGCTTAAACTTTTGCCTTCGAATTACTGTATGTGCCTTTGACTCTTCTACTTAGCTGAAGAGGGTTATAAATATATCATTTCCATTTGAGGCCTTGCAGGTTGACTGACAATGACTGCTCTGCTGCAGTCTTCAGTGACTGACCAGTATTAGGATTGATGACTCCTTCATTTTCAGTGCTTGTAAATTCCCCAGTGTGATGGGGAGCTTTCCCATTTTTTTTTCAGCTGGGTGGGACCAAAGACTCAAATTTAATGTAGCTTTTACAGTACTGCCAGAGAGATTGATTTTCCTGCAGTTCCGTCTGAGACATTCATCTTAGTATTTACACTCAAGAAATTTTTGTACATTGTGAATCAACAGAGACTTCATCCCTTACACCATAACATTTCTCTATGCAAGACCATGGAACAACAGCATGAATCAGAACTTTAAATTCCCCCCCAGACCAGCCTGGATGCTGAACCCTGACCCTATGGCACGGATCAGGAGAAATCTAAACCATGGTTAATCATAACAAACAATAAAGCTGTTTACAGACAATCACCAAGCAACACTGCCTTTGTACAGTTAGCATTTTAGCTATGTTGTTATATTTGGAAAAAAGCAAGCAGTTAGAAAATGGATTGGTTAATAATTTTTTATGGCTACCTGTGGTGTTAGTAGCATGTTTTGGTTAACAGCTCACGAATCCACAAAGAACTATTTAACTTGCATCCTCCAAAAACTGTATTAAAACATATATATAAAATAATGGCAGCTACATACCTGGCAGTACCATCCAATTGCTCTTTCCTTTTATAGAAGAGAGGAAGCATTACAAGAAAGCAAGGAAAAAAGAATCCCATATTAGAATAAAAGAATAAAAGCTACATTTTCAGCTACCCATAAAGCAAAGAAAGTGATATAGATTCCTGAAACCAATCTGTGCTGCTTAGATTGGCAATCCAGTCTTTGGTGAGAAGTGATCTCTTCTGCCCTCTCTTCTGGAGCCTTATTTGCAAAACACCTATTAAATTTCAGGTTGTGTTCAAATCAGAAGAATCTACAGACAGTGATTAAGCTTGAAGTCACAGTAATGAGTCTGGACTCTTCACAAGTCTGAGAATTCTTCTCTGAAAAAAGCCTGAGGTCCAGAAACCCTCTAGAAATTACTCTATGATGGAAAATGTGAGAACAGACAGTAGTGAGAAAGGGTAAAGAAAAGGAAAGAAATGTACTGAACCTTAACTAAACACTTTTGGTGGGTTTATTTTTAGAGATTTCCTTTTTGAAGTAGGTGAAATTGATCCTAAACAAACATATTGTGAATAAAACAAAGAGTTAGTATTTGCAATTTGCACTTTGAAGGCAGGAGCCTGAAACTTTTCAGGTCAGTTCTGAGCAACATCTGGAGCTGCAGTATTAGTGCAGTGGACACAACTTACATGTGGAGAGCTCTGTTTGAGCCGAGCACTAGTTTAAAGGAACTTTTTTTCAGAATGAGGCCCAACAGCAAGTCCAGAATGAAAGCTTAAAACATTAACTTGGATATGTAATTTCTATTATTAGCAGCTGATAGTCTATTGCTAAAAGTCTTGGCTTTCATAGGGCCATATAGGTTTTTAAACAACGTTTTAAAATGTAAGACCTGAGTGTGTGAAAGGTGCCTGTTTGGCAGGCAAGAAAAATGAGGATCAGACAGACTCATGGCCATAAACATATGAGCATCTATTATATCTGAATGTCTTTATGTGTGGAATGCTTTCCAATGAACTCACAAGTGGTGAATGAAATAAAACCACAACCTCAAAAGAGTTTCCTTTTCCTCAGAACAGTTTTCTGGGAAATATCTGTTACCTACAAAAGCCTCATTGATATGTATAAAGTCTATGCTTCCTGTCTTGACTGATACTTCACAGAAAATTATGATGGAGAGATAGACAATGCACTTACCTGAAAAATGGAAATGATACAATTGATTCATAAAACCTCCAGGTAGCAACTAAATCAATCCTGTTGGGGTTAGTAGCATAGTATCTCCAGGCAGCCTGAGTTACAGGGGAGAGGAAATAATTAGTGTGGAGTAAAGCTGTTCCCCAGGCTGCCTGCAGCCAGACTTTCAAAGAACGTGACAATGCACCTGAGTGACTACCTGGAAATTAATTATTAATCAGCCATACCAAATTAGTAGCACTATATGGTACAACTACTGACACTGGATTATGGTCTGGGAGGGCTGTAAAGGAGGCAGAACATGGAGAGAACCACCACCATCAACATGACATTACATTAGAGTAAACTGGTTTTATTCTCCTGTCTGGTATGTCTAAAAGAGCTTCAAGCACTGCTAGACTTGTGCTGTAATTCTGGAAGTGCTCAAGATAGTTTATTACCTAATGTATCATCAGAGGAAATTTTGCTGAGCAATCTTCTATTTCAGCATTTAGTTCCAATCAAAATTCTCCAAAGAAAATTCTTGAAGCACATACCTAAAACCCACTGTAGCTAAACAAACCACCTGCTAAGTGAAGATGCTTTGATTTAAAAGATGAATTCCATCCACAACTCATGACTGCAGATCCTTCTGTTTGCTAAACAGTGTTTTCAATGAGAACAGCATAATATTCCACTCAGCCTGTTTATCCTGAGGACTGGTTTGATCCTGAGCAGTCCTGAGCACCAACACTTCCATTTGATATCACAGAAACTTTCTCTGCCCCTCTGTCAAAATACTTCCATTTCCTTTACTGCCATCAGGAGGCACTCCATATCTAGGAAGAGTAACTCCTGTCAAACTTGTCAGCACCAAGACTAGTGATTTTAAGCCTAATTTTCTGAATTAATAACAAAAGCCATAACTGAAGTCTGGGTGAGCTAAGGACTCTCTTCCCACTGAATTCTCAGATCATTCAGTGACATAACAGAAGATCTAGAGTGTTTTTGTTTTTTAAACCATACACTCTATTAAAGTTCTTTGCCTTGATTGCACTGTCTATTGTGTTACTTCTATTGCTGTTTTCACATCAATAACAACATAACTTTGTTTGCACATAAAAGCACTCCCTCAAAGGAACTGACAAAACCTGTATTTTGGAAAGAATATGTTTTCAACAGCTTGTTTTCTGTGATTTTGTGGCACTGATGCAGAAGTTGGTTGGTTTCCAGAACCTAGCAGATGAGACCCTTTCTCTAAAGACATTGTTCTTCTGAAAGATATTCTGGGAGTTGAACAATTCCTCAGAAACCACAAGAACCACTGGATTATCTAGCTTGGTGTGAAAAAACTAACAAACACAGCTTGCCACATCCTGGAATGAGAAATGAGACCTTGGGCAGGGGGCAGGTGGTGGCCCTTTTTATCATGATTGAGCAGTCTTCATACACAACACTTTTTCAAGGAAAGGGTGAGTGGCTGCAAACCTGAATGAGCTCAGCTGCTGGCTTTCTTCTTTTCTCAAAATGTTTCTGACGATGTTGCTCCTGGACCTTCAGTGCCAGGCCTGAGCCCAAAATGCCCTGAAAACACAAAGCAACGCAAGATTTTAGACACTTCTTAGAAAAGAATGGATAAATGATGAGCAAAAACAGGTCTGTGGGGGTAGATTAAGCAGCACAGCATGTGTTTTCTGCTGCTCCTCTCATAAGACAGGAGGTGTTCATGATCTTCTCAAGGACCACAGACCATTTTAAGGTGCTCAACAGGCTTCTTCAATGTCTACTGCCTTTCCAAGCTGAAGGTGTCCATGTGGTGTATTACCTTCCACTCAGGGTGGAGTGAAATTGTGTTTGTGCAATACAAGAGTATGCTAAACTAAACCATACTCTGAGTTTGGGTGTATAGGACTTGCCATCCTCCGTGAAATTCTTTCCAAGTCCCGATCTGAAGGAAAAGTATCCTAAATTCTGGGCTTGGGACACTTTCTGTTGCTATTCAGCCCATCTCACTCAGATCCTGTCTCATTCTCACCTGAGGACTTTGCTGGCAAGGGAATTACAGGGCTGGGTAAGATGGGCCTAAATCTAATTATTAAAACAGTAGGGTATAAATCCTTCAAAAATATGTCTTGCGGGGGCTATGTCAGTACCAGTAAACTAACATGTGCCACGGTACAGTCTCATGAACTGCCTTGTGATTTCCCAGACTGTTCACTCGCTGGATTAATTTTGTTGTGTGCCAGCCAGCACTGTCAGACAATGCCCACATATGATTTGAGGAGTGTTGGGGTGGTATAGTATACCCAATGAGCTCTGTGCAAAGTTGGGAAGAAACAAGTTTAGTTTACTAATATAGACACCCTCAAGTCTCTGAATGAATTCTTAGAAAGGGATTTAGTTCTACAGAAAGTTTTGTTCACTTTATGTTTTTTGGTTTTTTTTGCAAGTGCGCAGCATTGGACTGTGTCTAAGAGAGGAGGGGGAAGGTACTTACTGCAGGAAGAGCAAAGAAAGACACTCCAATGAGAGAGAAGGTAGCTGCAATCAGCCGCCCCTCCCACGTTTTGGGGGTCTTGTCGCCGTACCCAATCGTAGCCAGGGTGATCTGTGGGCAGAATGACCAGGACTTCCCATGAGAAAAACAAAGCCAACAGCTCTGCTTTAAATGTCACCACAAAACCTTCATAACTCACTTTGCTCTGCGGGTGCTCATGCACAGGCCATTGAAATAGGATCTTGATGATGGGCCAACTAATTTTCTTTAATGGTGTCACAGTCCCAAGGCATTGTACAGAGAATGCATTTAGTCTTGAAGCAGCTGCCTCTCTAGGATGCATTTGCTGCCAGGGAGCTTTGGGGGCCATTGCCTGTACAGTGAGTTTCCTGCCCACCATCAGCTTACATTTAAGAATGGGATTTGTCAGTTAACGTTGATGGGCCTTTAACAATTGGTCAGGACAAGCTCTGCATGAGCTCCTGGTCTTTTTAAAACCAAGATGACTTTGTAAAAACTTACTCCTTTCATTCTCAGTTGTTAAAATCCAATTGTGTCCCTTTTCTCACCTGTGAGGCTCTGTCTAAATGTCCTGGATTTGAAAGGATATGAAAACATCCTGTTGTTCTATGCAACACTTAGTACCTTTCAACTAATAATGGGAGTAGGGGGTATGGGGAAATATCTTGCCATTTCTGAGTGAACTACATTAAATAAAAAAATAAGCTGCTGAATTTTAGTCACAGCATAATATAGACTTCTCTGCCTATCAGTAGCAAAGCAACATGAATGCTGGGATGACAGGAATATTTTTTTATCAAATAAGTTAGTGATGTAAACCAATACTCCTCTGTTCATCAGAAGAAAAAAGAACAGATGTATAAAGGTCCCTCTTGTTCATCATCCTACTGCCTGATTTTTGTGGAATAGATGCAAGACAATATATTTACGATGAGAATGGTTGAGTTAATCTTTCCAGAAATATTTTTCTACTTTCTGCATCTGAATTCAGACATCTTCAGTCACTGGCTTCTTAAGAACCAAACTTCCATGAGTGTCTACCTCAACTGCCCAAACTTTTGGTGCTCTTTGCTTGCCCAACAGAACTATCCATTGGCAGCTCTGATTCTGCCATTTTCTGAGGGATGCAGCTCTCCCAGGCAGGACACTGCTGTCATGAGAGCCAGGTCTTCCACAGGCATAGTGCAGTTGGACCTGAAGAGATACTCCTCTAAAAGAGAGGGTTCCCAGGAGCATAGAATGATTTCTAAAGGAGGTTTAAGCTCCTAAGGGCCTTTGTCTGACTGAAAATCAACCTGAAAATCAGCAGGGATGTAAGTTCTGTTATTTGGTTGTAGGGGCACCTCTACTTTGGTAACTTTACATGGGTAACATGCCTTTCACCCAAATACAGCAGCCCTTGCACTATAATCTCTAACATCAACATCTTATCTCTTTTGGGTATGAAGTTTTTAAGAAGAGTATTTTGGAGTCACTTACCAGCCCCCACCACAGTGCATCTGCATAGGTTTCAAACTCTTCTTTCATCTCCACTCCATTAGCATCTTTTTCAGGAACATCTTTTTCAACCAGATAAACAAGAAACGAGGATAAGATGAGCGTCAGGAACCCAATGTACCAAGCAGTGATGAGCTCCTGCAAAAGAAACAGATGGACATGAAGGGTCTGAAAACATCCTCAATACTCACAGTGGCAGAGTAAACATCAGGAGGAGAGAAAGGCACACAGGGTAACAGCAGAGCTGTCACTGCTAGCTTGGTCACAGACCCCGACCAGCCCAGCTCAGCACTCAGTGGGAAATAATGCAGAGATTTACAAGAATTAGCCCTTACGTGGCATCTTCCTGGGGAGCAGCTTGGAGCAATCTGCAGTTGTAGTTCTGCATAAAGCTGGGCTAAGGATGTATCTGCACCCGTGACACAGCTGCTGCAGGGCTCTGTCCCTGACCTTGGCTCTTCACATCCCTTCTGCCCCTGGGCTTGGTCACTCTTAGCCAGCAAGTCACAGCCCTGCCCTCTCCCTCCCTCCAGAGAGCCACAGCTGCAGGATGGATTTGCTTCTCTTTAGCCATATAAAAGCAGATTCCATCATGAATGAATGATGTTTTCAATGTGAATTCATGCAATAAGAACAGACCTTGAAAAGCATCTGTGTGAAAACAAAACCTGAGCCTCCCTGTTTTAGAGGGAGTGACTGGAGTGTGTGTCTAATCCCACTGAGGTGGGAGATGCAGTCACTTAAATTAAAATACCAACAACATCTGAAGCAAAGAAGAAAAATTTTTTGAGAAATTCTTCAAAAGTGGCTAAAAAAAAAAATCAATATTCCATTTCCTTTTATGAGAAATGTATTGGAAGAAAAAAACACAAAACATTGAAGCTGAGAACTTCATAATTGAATCTTCAGGTAAGCAAACTTCCTCAGCTAATTTCTGGTGAGCAATCACAGAAGAAAACTGTTATCACAATTGTTTCTTCATTATCTCCAATAAAGCAAAGTTCTTACAACACCTTCTTATCTCTGAGCCACCTGAGATCCAGAGGGTGGTGGTGGGCAAGCAACATGTAAATGAATTCCCACAAAATGAAGCCTTAAACAATTTCTAAACAATGTCTTTGGTACACAGACTTCTTCCATGATCTGTTTCCTGGGAAACATTTTTGACAGTGTTTATGTGCCACCTGCTTTGTAGCAAGTTTATACAGGGAAGAAACATAAGCTGGTAAGAAACGAAGCAGGATGGGTATCCCCATCAGCCACTATGCTGAAGCAAAGTCTAATTATGCTGTGCCAGCTGGCGTTTTAATTTTCAACCCCCCCTAAAATGTCAGGAATGTCACTCATGGATAAGAAAAAGCAGTATGTAGCACAGAGTGTGCAATTTTTCTACACCCCATGCAGATGAGAAATCTTATCTAGAGGATTATTATGCAGATAGTTTTTAACTTGTAATAATGTTTTGTGAAAATGCAAGAACACAAATATCTGTCTGGTGCAAGACAGGGTGTGTGTCTGACTACAGCATCAAGTTAGACCAAACAAAGATGATTTTAGAAAATTTCCCTGTCTGGGTTCTCACTGTATTGTCTCATTGCTGCATTGTCTGACCCATCCTTCCACAGAAAAATTTTACCAATAACTCCTTCTGAAACCACATATCTGCTAATCAGCCTCTTGCCATCCCTCTGGAGTCCAGTCCTACTCCATCTGTTGACCAGACAAGTCTGAGAAGCCACTAAAAATACGTCGCAGCTTCATAGGCGTTTCTGTCAAAAATTTGAGCGTCTTTCACCATTAAAGGGTTTTCCCTGCTTTCATTCAGTGTAAAGACAAAATTCCTGTTGTAATGTGTGGGAATGAACACACTCTCCCTTCCCAGCACCACTATTGAGTGGAGAAGGGTAAAACTAGGGGCAGAAATGGTTCAGAGAATGGAAGAGGGAATAAAACTTAAGGAACAAAACTATTTTTGGAACCACTAAACATAATCCCACGGCACTGCTGTACCTGTGCATCCCCTCTCTTTCCCTTCAGTCTTTCTCCCCAAGCCCCCAGCTGAGCCCTGCAAGCTCCTCACTTACTTTGCTATGTGCACAAATAGCTGATCCTAAAAGTTTCCAGGTGCCGCCCCGCCTGTCCATTCGGAGCATCCGTAGGATCTGAAGGAAGCGGAGGCTTCTGAGAGACGTGGCCAGAACATTGCCCTGGTTCCCAACAGCAACCACTGGCACTGAAGCGATCAGCACAAAGATATCTGCAAGGTGAGAAGAACAAAGCCTGCCAACGAGAGTGGCCCTGTCACCTGCTTCTTAATCCCATCTGGTTGTGCTGCAAATTTCCCATGGTATATTTTGAAGCTGCCTGGAAATGCCTGCTCTTTCCAATTAAGCAGCTATCTGCATCTGCCACACAGGCAGCATCACAGACAAAACCTACCGGAAAGCCTCGGGATCTGTTTACAGATCGATGCACTGGACTTGAGATTCTGCCTGAGCTTGCTTAGGGATGCACAGAAACAGTGTCCTAAGGCTGACAGAAAAACAGACTTTTATTCATCTGTACCACAGGAACACCACAGTGAACAGGTCAGCAGATGAGAAATTCAGTTTTGATCGTACACCTACTATTTCATTCTTTTGGCTGAGTTTTCCCATTAAAATTTCCAAGCCAGTGCTACTATTTTTTTGTAAGTGCTCACAGGACCAATTTGCTGATCAACTGAAGAGGTTTGAAATGCACAATCGCATCACATCTTGGGTTTTTTTCTCTTTTCTTTGTTTCCCTCTTGCTTTTTGATCCTATACACGTACAAGATGAAAGTACAGCTTCAAACATTCTCTGGGCATATATAAGTAATAATATATAATTTATAATAATATGAAATTTATAATATAAATTGTCTTTATATTTCCAGCCAAAAAGAGTGGATTTCAGATTTATTCACTTCCAATCATTCTCAAAAAAAAATTTGCAGCAGTGACAAATGAGAGATGATATTCATAAGTCCAGAATATTTTCTGTTCTTCAGAACTATGACATCTACCCAGCTATCAATGAAGATTCCATCTCAGAAGTGAGATGGCAAGTTTGCCAAGAAGGCGTGAGACAGGATCAATCCTGTTTGCTCACACCACACTCTGCTGCCTTCACAATCCTGTTGGAAGTATAAGATGTATCTATACAACAGTGGCACACAAAGGAGCACTACTAAATTGAGGATAGCACAGATACACAAACAAAATTTGTTACAATCTTATCTACCATTTAGACCCAAGAGATGAACAAAAGGAGGGAGAGGGAAGAGAGGTGTGTATTCATGTGGCACCACAGCTCCCCAGAGTACTACGTGCTGTACAAATAAAGAACAAACCCCTGCTGTTTGGCCTGAACAGCACTGAAACAAAGGAGAGCATCCCAAAATCAGTGAATGAATGGCGATGTGCAAGACGGGTGCTCGGGGCAGAGTGAGCTCCTAAATACTGGCTGGTTGGTTTGTGGTTATGATAAGGAGTTGCAGGAGGGGATTCAAACATGAATAATGAGTAGTTTTATGGATAGTTATAGACACTGACTTCCAAACCTGAATGACAACATAGGTGAAATCACAAAGGTAAAACAAAACACAAACATGAAAGAGAGCTGAGGAAGATTGGGTAGGGTTGTGATCTGAAGTCGTTTGAAACTGAAGGCAGAGAGAGTCTTTTTGGGGATGAGTTTCAGAAGAATGCAGTGGGACTCAGGAGAAGGGCAATGTGTTTGAAGGGTAGAAGGATTCTTTTTCTTTCTCACCGATTAGACACCCAAATGTCTCTCAAATTAATTGTTATTGCTGGCTGCTTCAAAAAACTACTCTAAGCAGGACATGAGTCCTGGCATAAAGGGCAGATCTGATTTCAGTGCTCCTCGCACTGCCATTCACCAGTTCTTTGACATCCCCCAAACTGGCTTAGAAGGAAAAGGACAAAACAGAGAAAACAGTAGTAGAGAGCATGTGCCTACCCAGCATGCACAAAGGCTTCCTGGCAAATTTGAGTCTCCCCCTCCATCCTTTGTAGCGACAGCAACAGCCAGCAGCCCAGATTCTTAAGGCAAACTCTGCTCCAAAGATGAAAATGGCAAAAGTTTCCTGTATCAAGACACAAACTACATTGTTAGTCTCATGACAAGTTTTGCAGTAATTCTGTACACAAGGGTGTAGCTGAAGGACATGAGGCACAAGTGTTAGGATATGTGTGAGAGATAGAGGAAAAAAGGTGGAGGAGAATACAGATTGATGAAAGAGGCAAGGCAAAGTGGGACATGCCTTTCCAGCCTTCCAAACAGTCTGCAGGAGGAATTTGTCCCTGCTGTTGGGTAAATGTGAAGTGCTTACCCTGCCTTAATGTAAGGGCAGTTACTTACACAGAAAGACCTCTTGTTCCTCACAAAAGGGGGAGACATTTGCAAGTGGTGACTGCAAAGTCCTCGGTGCACTCCATACCCATAACCCAGGATGACCCACCAGCAGCTCATTCATGCAGCCACATCTACAGACACAGGGCAGGACACAGTATATTCATATGCTTTCTAAGGGGCACTTTTCCTCATGCTCAAACCCACAGCTCCTGGGCGCTTCTGAAAACTGCTGAGAGCCACATGCAAACAAGCACAGGAGGAAGAAAAATTACCTGAGGCTTTCTCAAAGGTGAAAGATGGGCTATAAGCAGGGTAACAGAGGCCAAAAGCAGGTTTCACATTCCCTAAGGGATGGGTGTGTTTTCATATAGGCACTTTTTGAGAAGGAACAAGGGGAATTCACTTTTCTTTCCTTTCAGCATTTTGCAGTTGCCCAGATCTACATGCCTCTGGGGGTACAAGGGGAAGGGGAAACTGAGACCCTAGAACTAATTTTGCTGGGGATACTTTATACAAGGCCAGGTTAGGTGAGATGTTGTGCTCTCTATTTCATGACAGCTATGGGAGCAGAGGAAGTTCATGGTTAAGGTCGTTTTCATAAAGCTTTGAATATGCCATGTTTATGCTTAGGGAGGAGCTTCCTCTATTTTTTCCACTCTTCTTCCAAACAGGAGGCCTACAGAAATAAAGTCTTTAGCATGAACTTCAACATTTATAGAACCAGCATTCTGGAACACACAAAGAAAGGTATGTATTTGCTGCTAACACGTTTTCTCTCAGAGGAACTGCCTACAACAATTTCAGTTATGCTGCTATTGGGCACAAGCATGAGACCAATTCTGATGACCTCCCTTGAAAGAAATACTGGAATTAGTAGAATACTATAGAGTGAAGCAAAATATTTGAAAGATCACCCCCAAAATAATTTTCAAATGTGCTTAGGTCTGGCATGGTCAATGGGAAATTAACTGATAGTTTGATGGAAGGACTGTTAGGCTAATGCTCAAAAGCCTTAGGCTGGTATTTTTCATCTCATTTTCTTTTTACTCAGGAACCTCACTTTCTTTTTACTCAGTTGTTGTTGACAGTGGACTGGGAACTCTTCAATAGGTAAGTGTATGGTCACTGCCCCAGGACCAGTGGCAGAAACCTTATGGCATGCAGAGCTGGGAGTAAGTTTCTATCCCTGCAGATGGGGCTGATTTCAATTCAAGGGTGTTACCAGGGTGATGAACCAGCCACAGGCTACTTACCAGCAAGAGGAGCCAGTCTCCCGAAACAGTTTCATACTCCTTGAAAGTTGTCAGGACAGCTAAGATCAAACACCCCAAGACAATCAGGAACCTGGAATGAAGGAAGAGAAAAAAAAAAAACACAGCATAGTTACCCCTCTCTGTATTTGCATTGGAGATATTACCTATAAGATCCATCAGGGCATGGCTGCTTCCTACTGGTGAGCAGACAGGTGGGCTTTCATGAAGATCAAGGATTCTCAACCATGATGGAGTGGGGGAAACTGGCAGTGATGGCAAGATCCTAAGTCAGAATGTTCCTGGGACAGACATGTATTAATTAATTCATTTGCATTCTTCAAGAGTGAGTGATACTGCATTTTTGGAAGGAATTGTATGATATAGCAGAGGACTATATTGCTCAGGAGGTCTATTCCAAGCTGACATGCTCTGTGCTTCCCAGAACGGCACTGCAGTAACAGTGGAATGAATCTACTTGACACTTCCTGAGACCTGGGAAACAGTAAACGCTTCTCTACAATGCAGCACCAGGACAAACCCTCCCTTGAAAACTGCACTGCATTTCTTTTTTCCTTTTTCTTTTTCTTTTTGCACTCATTTTCTATGCAGATGAAAAGATGAAAAGGATTGAAAGAGAAACAGGAGAGGGTAAATTTCTGCTCTCCAGTAGACACAGTGCGTGATAAATCAGTCTGTCTGAGAGGCTCCAGAATGCAGAGATTTGACTGAAAATTTAAATGCCACTGCTGGTAAATTCAATTCAATCTCGTTGATCTGCTTTGTAAAGCTATTCCCCGGGTCAAGCTATTCAAAATCCTTTATACACAAAGAGGTAAAAAAATCAAGGGAGTCTCCTAAGTGATTACTGTGAAGCAGAGTGGGCGAAGCTCATATTTTGGTACTCCATGTACCCAGATCATGAGCATTTTAATGTGCTTCCAAAATGTAATCCACAGGAACAGAGGGGCAGGTGGCCATGGAAATAACTTTGAGTTTACTAAATAAATTGGAAGGATGTCTCCATAAAAGCTCTGGATCCCCTGCTCTCCTAGCTAGGGTACATCAAAGAAATGATAGGCATAAGCTGTGTTTAGTCTGTAGTACCTATTTTGAATTTCAATCTGATACCTGTAGTGTGATTTCATTTCTTGCTGAGTAAAACTCCACTTTGTTTCACTGGGTGAAATGAGCAGAGCCACAGCCTGCAGGGTGGAGGCAGTGAGCGAGGGCTCAGCTCAGAGACACCTGTCCTCTAACCTGCCTTGGGTTTTCATTTCCTTCATATATGAGAAAACCTAAGGCTAGAGAACAGTGTTCTGAGAACTTGCAACTTCTCTGCAGCTGGAGTAAAAGGACAGAGTTGAGCTCCACATAACTCCTGCTGCCTTTTGGGGAGGGGGGAGGGGGGGTGTAAATTTCCTCCAAACAGCATCCACTAGCACCCTCCATGCAAGGAAAAGACAACAGTGAAATACTTCACAGCAAACCTTGAAGGATTACTTTGCTGTGGCTTTCCTAAAATTAGCTGTTCAGACTGAATTTTCTTATGCCAGGAAAATTTCATATCAGCCACTTTGAGCAAGTTTAGAATAGAAATAAATGTGTTTTCTTGTGCTAAATAATTTTGGATTTCTTTGACAAGTTTCACCATTTTCCACTCACCAGACATGCTCTGGGGCATGGGTTATGCAGTTGGTAGGAAACAGATGTTGGGTCCAGAATGTGTCTTTTTCCATCTACCTACAACAACATTCCCACTGCTTGAGACATTTGGCTCACTGGCTTGCCAAGACTCCCAATCCAGCTATTCTGCACCTCCATGAGCAAACTAGTGAAACCTCAACCAAGACAATGATTCTTTTGATTATCTATAAGCTCTTGATCTGCCACATTACAGCCATTAAAGTGGTACCATCACTGAGACTCCACTTAAAGCCTTGAGCAGCTGCCTCTTGGTACTTTCCATTACAGACATTTCTTTATATCACGTGAAAATTCAGGCACCCATCAGCTCACAAGTATCATTTAAATGATTTAATGAAACGTGAAACACACTGAAAACAGTCCAAGGAAATTACATCATTGCGTTACATCATTAGCTACTTAAACTAAAGGCGTGAATTTGCCATATCATTCAACAGAACTCCATTGTCAATTAAAGATGATGTACAGATTTTTGTCCAAGAAGAAGATAGAAGACAAGTTTGTAGTGAAATCGTCATCTTTTGCCTAAAAATGCCTGCTCATTTACCACTAGAGGGTACCGGTGCTCCACAGAGCAAGGGGATACAGCTCGCTCGTTTTCCTTCCCCACGAAACAGGCTCAGTGCAGGTGATGTTCAGGTGATCGCACCCATGTATTTGATATGCAAGAAAAGGAGTCTCACGGTGGTGAAAGAGCTTTTCCTTGCTCGCTAAAAGTCCCAAATGTTGATATAAATGGAGAAGAGGTGGTGCTTATTTGATTGCTACCTGTGGCACAGCTCATGCTGCAAAATCCAGTGCACCAAGTGAGAGCCCACCCGTGAAAACAACAGATCAAGCAGGACAAAAACCCAGTAAAAATAGTATGAGAGAGTGATATTGGAGATCACAATTCACAATGAATAATTTTAAGGTCAAATCTGAGCAGGGAATATGGTCTGAAACCCCTGTTGCAGGAAGCGCATGAATGCACCTCAGAGACGCAACTGCTGAATTTGCAGTCCCCAAAAACCACACAGACCACAGAACCAGGCTCCTGCCCCTTCCTGCAGCTGCAGTCCATCCTGGAAGGGTCAGCTGTTCTCCTGCTGCACCATTTCCAAAGGCTAGACACCAACTGCAAACACCCACAAGTTAATCAACACACATCTCAGAAACTGTCCCTGAGAATCTGCAATTGCAACTGTGGTTCAGAGCACTCTGTGAATTTTAATTTCATTGATGCTATGCAACCCAGCCTCTTCTGTTTTGGATCTTAGTGTTTGTGAAGCCTGCAAGTCTTCTTGTGTCCTCTTTCTATGGAGGATGTTACACTGATGTTGTCTTTTCTTCATCAGCCCCCCTTGCTCAGCAAAGATGATAACAAGGTACATCTTCCCCTTGCTGCTTCTGCCCATATGGTGGGATTCATGGGACATAGGCACCAAGGGTTAGAAGAATGAAATAGGCTAAAAAACAAAGTTTGAAAAGAAAATTGAGTCCTATTAAGCCTAAGCTCACTGTTAAACAGTGTTTCAGCAGGTGGCAGTCCAGACTTCAAGACTGTAAATCATATATACCAAATAAGTACCTGAATGTGATCTCTCAGCTTTTTAGAATCATCCTTGTTATTATTTTACATTATTTTTCACAGTGCATTACACTGTCCCTGTTTGCAGCATTATGCCTAAAATCTAAATACTTTGTTGTATGTTCCAGACCACCAAACGGCAGTGCTCTTTTGTCACTGCCACAACTAATGTGTTATTCTAGTAAATATTCTTAGTTTTAGAAATCATGTACTTAATATTCATTTTTTCTAATTATGATATTTTGGTGTATTAAAAACAGTATTCCAAAAACAATATATCATTTTCCAGAAAAGAAGAAGCAATTTATGACTATGCATGAGCATGAATCTAATGTTTCTTGCATCAGCTTCACAGACTGTTTCATTTGGTAAATTTTTACTTATTTTAATATTTCCCATTTTTTTTGAGTTTTTCTTTTCTATCTGCTTTCATTTGAAGCCAACACAATGTAGATCTAGCTGAGAACCTTTATATTTTTATATATATACAGGGGTACTTATCACGTTTCCTTTTCACCATCCCTTTCTTCACAACTGTAGGGGCAGATCACATTGTATTTTGCCTGTAATCTATTCCAGGCTCTGAGCAGGAAAGCCTCTTGAACAGTTACAAGTAAGAAATCCCCTGCAGTGTGACAGTGCAGACTTCTGTTTGCTCTCACTTCTTCAGTACCATTTCTTGCAAGCCACTGGGATTTCTTCTGCCTCCAAATGTTCACATGGGTCTTAGATTTTTCTGCTTTGCTTCATTTCAAACTTTCATATCTTTCCTTAAAGCCTATGCTCTGGTTTCATTATGTTCTGCCACCTGGTAAATGCTAATGGAATTTTCTAAGATTGTGATATATAAGGAAAATCTGGCAATGTTTTGCTAAATTCTTGGTTTAGGGTACTCAAAGCAATATGGTTCTAAACCATGATTCCCACACACTTTCCCAAATTTCATATTGGAACAAGCTTATTTTCTTCAACTATTGGCTTTTACCCATAAGGATTAAAAATGCATCTTTTCTCACAGTTTTTTCAGTTGCTCTATATTCCTACCCACCATCTTTTTCTCTTCATCCAAGCTTCATTTTTCACAGAACATCTGCAGTATCTTGCACTGATCGTTTTATGATTGCTAATGAGAGGCTTGAGTTGGGATTTTTAACACTAAAAAAAAAAAAAAGACATTACCAAATATTTGAGAACAGCTCTTCAGAGAGAAGGGAATGTGTGCCTGATTTCCACAGACTTGGGAATATTCACTGTTTAATATTCAGATTCTTGAATCTCTGCTCTTCCAAGCAGTAGGACAGAGATCAGTACTGAGATAAGAGTGACAGAAAAAATGCAAACACTTTGTGAGGCTCCAGAAGTGCAGGACATGCAGGGAAAAGCACTGAGAAATTCAGTGGAGGTCCTGGAAAAGGCAAAAAGCAGCAAGGCCTACTGGCAGGGATGTTCAAAGGCTCCTCTTTCTCTGCATCCACAGATTCCACTGAGTACACAAAGTTCCAATGCCATCATACAGCAAGAACAGGGTACAAATGCCACACTCAGTAAGATGAATTACACTCTTGCTCTGCTGCAGTGGTAGAGGCAGAGCAAGTTCTTCCACAAGATGCTGAAGGAAACTCCAAGAAGTAAAGATCCCCAAAAGTTCCCTAGTCTCACTGGCATACAAGTTGATCTGACAGGTGATGAGGTGGTAGCCCAGAATGACACTAATTCCTTGGTGACAGCAATGACAGACATTGTCCCTTGTATGGTAGGAAGTTGAGTAAGAAAAGCCCAAACCCTTACTCATGCCAGGTTTTTGATGACCTTGTGTT